AGGAAAACTGTGTGGGAAGTGTGCTCGGTGTCGAGAGTGTTGCTAAGGGGACCCTGTAAAACGGCCTGATCCGCGATTCTGGAGCGCAGGAAGTTTGGAAACCACTGATATACGTGCGGTCGGACGTAAGTCTGATACATGGTTGACCTGTTTCACTTACATCTTATCCTAAACATTTATGGAAGTTGCTGCGTCGTTTCTAGGAAGAATTCTGGACACCCGGGTTACGGATTTTAGTCGCAAAGTTCGAGAATGTTACGTGGGTTTTTGATTTGGACCTGTCCGGCACGTGGTCGGTTTAATCCACTTGTTCCCGCTGTCAATAGTGAGTAAAGAAAGTATTAACCCTTTTGGTGCCGAGCAAAAGTATCATACCTATGCGAGTAATACCGGACTAATTTGACGAATTTGCTAAGATTTGGGAATAAGCTGATAAAAACCAAAATAGGGATGACGTTTATAAAATTCAAAAAGAAGCATATTACGAAATAAATGGAAAATAAAGTATTGCCAATTGTATTTAAATATTTGTTGGACACCATCGAATACGCAACGGCATATCGTCGTTGACACTAAAAGGGTTAAAAAAAACGGCGGTTTTATATTAGTTTATCAAAGTAACAATACGACATTTATTCTGATTTTTAACAAGTCTTATCGTAACATTTGTCGTAAGCAAGATATAAATTAAACAAATAACTCTTAAGTGTATCTTTACGATATGAATATAATCGTATATTAAAAAATTAATGATCCGTCATTTTGACGGGTTCCGTAAATCTAGCGTTAAAGAAATTCGGAACAGCCAGATCACAGATATTCTAACGAAAGTTCAAGAACAATAAATACAGTAATGATTTGTCCTGTCTAATTTGCGGCTGGCCTAATCCACTTATTCCATTCGTCAGTATCGTAGCTGCTTGGATCAGTGCGAAGGAACGATGTAACAATTAGGTTACACGTTTTGTATTTCCGAAGACGTCAGACATACGGGTGCATTATAATTGCGCCTGACGCATGACTGACTCGTTCCACTTGGCTCAATTTCCGCGGAAACTCCGGCGGCTGCTCCAGAAAGCATTGTAACGCCAGATTTCCTATTATTAATATGGCCGCGGATATACGGGCAGATTCGACATGTGTCTGATCTACGGCTGGCCAATTCCACTTAGACGTTGCGATAAGTATCTGTTGAAGCCGCGGAGCGGTACCTAGGAAGCGTTTTATATTAATAACACGCAAATTCTATGGATATACGGGCGGATTGAACTTGCGCCTGATTTATGGTCGATTTATTTCACTGGAACCTTATGGTAAACGTAGGTAGACGTTATTCAACGTTCGCGGGACGGAACACCTGTTCGCTAGACATCACGAATTTATAGTGTACCCAGACTACTGTCATCTTAGTCGGAAAAATTATAAATTTCGGCATCAAGCATGTATCGACTAGAATGTAACCTCGTTCCGGTTCCTTCCCCACGGTCCACATCCATCATGCATAATTTGCTCCGCAGAATGAAACGGGAAATGGTGTGGCTCTCCCTCGAGGGCGTCGTCTCGCGAACATTTCTTCGGGATTCCTCCCTGTCCCGGGGCAGCCCGTTATTTCGATCACGAATCTCGGCAGCGTTTTAAGTCAGACATGTCCCGCGAATTTATTCACCGCGTGACAAGTCGGCCAGGCTAGGGCGGGTCCTTTCAAGTATAAATTTCTCGTACATTTCCCGCTATCGTTGCGCCGAGGCTATAGCCGGCTATCGTTCCGCGTCTTTTATATCTACCGAAGCGCCGCCTCTGCAAATTAAATATCTCGCGGGCCATCTCTCTCTCTCTCTCTCTCTCTCTCTCTCTCTCTCTCTCTCTCTTTCGTGAAGAGGTTACCTCACAGTCTTACAGTTTCGAACACGACTGCGCCTCGTCGAGATTACCGCGAACAAGGATGTTACGTGGCCGACGTGTTATCCTGGAATTTCGCCTCTATTAAAGCACAACCAGGCGAGAAATCTGCAAATAAAAGGAGCGTCCCCGGTCCCGCCGCAAACCCGCCCGGAACATTCTTCCAGCGGTCTGCCCGGCTGCGTTTTAATTACAGAAATATTTTCCGGCAGACCGGCGAACATTTAGTAGCTAACGGGTTCGAGCTCCGTGAGCAACGATCGTTCCACTCGCGTTCGTCACCGATAGCAACGAATAACGCGCGTTGTCGGAAGAAGCTACAAGCAATTGCAAAGCTACCATTTTTAGAAGCTAGCTCCTAACGTCGGATAATAACCGAGAAAATTCTAGCCGTGGATCTCTAGCAGCGATTCTTTCAACGAACTGGCGAGCAATATTTCCGCGATTCGATCAGCGGCGATTATCGAACGGCTGTGCCAGGTGGAGGACAACAGGTCCGATGCATAATGCGCAACTAATGCAGCGCAGCCGGCGGGGCGGGCTGTAAAACGAAACGACGTACCCTTATCAAACCGTCTAACGTCGCAAACTTGCCGAGATCCGGCGTTTCGACGTGTTCCGTCTGAGGGATTGCGTTTCATTTCTCCTGTCTCCTGGTGTGTCCCTCCGCCGCTGTCTGGCTGGAGGGATGCAGTCGGGAATAATTAACGAGGGTGAGAAGATCTTCTTCCCGGGGAACATACGTTTAACGATCCCCCATTGCTGGGGTTAGAAGTACCGGCGCCCATAAACGCGAGGGTTGGAAAAGGGATTCGTTGGGGTGACTTTTGGCGCTGCGGCTGCCGGCGGTCGTCACGTATCCCGGTAATTGTTCCGTCGACGTTTAACGATCGCTGCGAGCGTCGATGATCGGCCTGCGATTCGAAATTTCCAATCGGCGCGTCGTCATCAGCTTTATCGACTATTTGTCTAATTCGAATGAAAAATCAACGTGGAATTTTATAAGCAAACCGCTGATGGAGGAGTGGGAACGAAGAGGATTTGTATGTAGAAAATAGTCATCAATCGAAATAATAATCATAATAATAATCGAATAAATACTATAGTCAAAATAAATAGGAAATAAATAGAGTCAAATAAATAGTTATCTGAGATAATTATTCCAGTGAAAATACTATAGAATGAAATAAATACTATAATGAAATTAAATACTATAATCAAAATATATAGAAAATAAATAGTCAAATAAATAGTTATCTAAGATAATTATTCGAATGAATTCCTTTTGGTCGAATATTTTATTCGAATAATTTACTATTCGTTATATAAATTTGTTCATATAATTCTAATTATTCTTTACTCTATAATATGTTCTATCATTTTTATATTAACATTCTGTCATTTTTATCGAAATCGATTATTTTCCGCGTGAATTTCAGTACGCATAAATTCTTATTCGAATAAAATTTTATTCGCTCGAATATTTGCTCGATAGTGTCGAATAAAATTTTAATCTTCATTCTTCATCATTTACCCGTCATCCGAATAAAATTTTGACCAACTCCGCTTTCAAGCGTAAGTCACTTCGGATGCGGTTAATTAAAATGTCACTCGATAATTGAAGTTTGATAACGGTGTTCAATACGTTCGATCATTATCCATAATTAGTAACGAAAAAATCAATTTGCCGTACATTTCGAATGTACGTTAAAGCGCAGCAAGACTCGCTAATGAATTTCAATAACTAAATCATGAATGAATCACAACGTTGACATGATTAATTAGAAATTCATTCATTCACAACCAGATAGAAAATTCGATAGCAACTTCGTGCATAACCAATCAGAAGCGAAAGGAACTCGATGCCATCACGATCAATAACGAATTTGTACCTCATTCGTTATATTTCAATTATTACATCAATCGTTACATTGAACGGACTAATTTAATTTCAACGAGGCGTCGTTGACTGCGCTGACTGTCCTTTAATATTCGTCTAGGAATAGTTATGCAGTCGACTAGTAGAAAACGAGGAGTAGAAAAAGTGGAAAACTGTATTCTGAATCAACTAATCAAAAAATAACTAACTAACTTCTAGACTCTGGAGTCAAATCGCTCGACCCTCCGAGTCATCTACGCGCCCTACTCTTGAATTGAATCCATGACTCAAGTACGTTAGGGTAGTCGACAGCCCCGATTCCGTGATCCAGAATTTCCGAGCAAGTGTTGGTATTTCCGTTGCGTCCACGCGGAAGGGTTATTCGAAAACGTATATTATATCCTCGCACGTTATCGAACAATGATGTGCGGGCCGATAGCGGGCCGGTCCGGGTTTATTAGTTTACCGAACTGACATGTGTCCTCTCAAAGGATCTTTGCGGAATTCGGCGGAGGACGCTAACAAACACGACGGCGCACGATCCAACGAATTCCGTCTCCAGTTTGATGTATAATAACGTTTGCGTAACCGCAATTTCGCGAGCGGCGGGGCACACGGAAAATTCGATACGCGTCGCGCGCGCCGCACCGATTCGATCATTAGATCGGCACAGGTGCGCCCCGATTGATCAATGGGAACGTCATTATACGACTGTTAACAGATTTGACAGATGTATATTCCCGTCAAACAATGTTCCCATAGCGGTCCCGGCAACACCCTTGTAACACGGCACCGCTGTGCTGTCGAATAATCTTGAAATTATAGTCGACGCAAAATGCAACAGCCAACGATTTCACTCGATTCCCCTGTCCCGTTGTTTCCCCGTAAACGGAACAACGATTTATTTACTTGTACATTCGATGGACGGGGAAACTCTTTGAATTAAGCGTTACAGAGTTATTCGCTTATCGAATGATTCCCAACAAATTTACGTTGACGAACACGTAATTCGTATAATTTTGTTCGTCATAAAATATGTACGCCGTCGAGCGACTTGAACGAAATAATGTCGGTAATTCCGGGCAGATAATGATGCAATTAAGCATTCTACCGTGTGAACAGTAAAATAAAATGTAATGAAATGTGAAAAATACAATATAAGATGATATCGTATTATCCTGGAAATTCTAGCGATGCTCAGCCACGGTCGTTTTGCTTTCAGGTATCCTGGATACGGCAAAGGGATTTGCACATACTAACGTCCTCCATCCACGCGTACACGGGGGACGAAAGATTCTCCGTGAAGCATCCGGAAGCGTCCAACGAATGGACGCTGAAGATCATCTACGTCCAGCAACGTGACGCAGGAGTTTACGAATGCCAGGTTAACAGCGAGCCCAAAATGAGTTTAGCCTTCGGGTTAAGTGTCGAAGGTAAAGTCCTCACAACGTGCCGACCATCCTCGTCACGGCCCATCCTCTCGCGATCGACATCCGCCGAAATCGATCATCGATTATTTGAAGAAAGTTCGCAATCTTAACCCCTTGCTCTATAACATCGCATAATTCACTGAACGCGGATGCTACTCGCGTCTTTCAAATTGAAGACAAATTCTATTCTTCTATTGTCAACATTCAAATGTAAAGTAAAAAAATTCGATGTAAGGATTGGCATACGATCAACGCAGCTGTGGTAAAACGTATAGCGCAAAGGGTTAAATTAAATCGTCGGAGAAGTGATAATTGGACTGTGGATCTTCGTGCAAAATAAACATTGTCTGCATCGTTTGCAAGTATCAGTAGCCAGTTAGAAGTTTCCTTTTTCCTGTGACACTGAATCTACCATGAAAATGGGGAATTATGGGGACTCTTCCCTAAGAAACGAATGAATAAATTCCTTTGATTAAGCCTACGTTATAATAAAAATGACGAACAATCTAAATAGATTAATTTTTGTTATTTTTCTAAACGGTGGTCTGTTTCACCTGATTTAAACATCGGTAGGTTTGGTGTTAATAACGTCGATAAGTCGAGAACAATGCATCCACATACTGAAATTTGAATCTTTCCACTGTCCTATATTTCTTCTAGCCAGCTTTATCACTAATGCACGAGATCCGCGGTCCAGTGATAATAATTTGACGGCTGATCGCAAGAGGATCGGCCTAACTTAGATAATCTGCTGTAAATATCCTTCGTAACGCAGATAGTTGAGAGGAACATGTTTAAAAAGCTTGCGTACGTGTCTACCGCCTGATCGATCAGGATAGGCACTTCCGGTACCTTGACTACGCACCAGCATGAAAAAGAGGATGATGCTTACCGCCTTGCATGCCTGTCATCGCGAGAACTGCGCCTGGAACTGACATCACCCTTGACCATGATAGCCAGGAGATTAAAGAGGGAGCTTCAAGTAAATCGTTAGAATAAGGATGATTCACGGCAATCTTTTTATAACATTGAACATTGATAAAACATTTTGTCACTTTCCTTAGATATTCTTTGACGTTTCAGGATGCAATCTTTTTCGTTACATGTTATCGACGTGTAATATTTTTTTCCTTCGATCTGGAACTAACACGGTGTCTCGTAATTATGTTAATACTTGGAAAGGAGTGATTCCTTGGATCATTTGAAGTAACTTTTTCCTTTAGAAAAATTTTCTCCAAGGCATCATTAACGAGTTATTAACGAAAATCTGTGACCAATGAGAGGCGAGCACAGCTGGCGCGAGCCAATGAGTGAAACTGGTCTCCGACCGCTCGTTGGCTCGTTCGCCTCGCAGGAGCCGAGCTCGCCTCTCATTGGCCAGTGTTTTTCGTTAATAACTCGTAAACGGAGCCGCGGATTGCATTTTCGCTGAGGAAAAAGTTGCTTCAAATGACCTCAGGAATCTCTCCTTTCCGAGTGTTAACATAATTATGAGACACTCTATGATACGGAGCTTTTATCATAATAGATCTACGCGACATATGAATCCAAATCCCATTTCAAAAATTCAAAGATAATGACAATACGCTTCTCTAAAAACAAAAGTATGATTTCTACGTAAACATAGTTTAAATAATTAATATCGTAAATCTCTTGACTATCATGGTCTTGACTCATCGATTCGAATCGTCACGAAAGGATCAATCCTTCAATAAATAATTTCAAAAGTGATAATAGTCAGAATGTAAAAATTTGCCTCGTTCGTCTCTACGCTTGTTTCGAGCATCGTAAATGATCCTGCAGACTGAAGGTATCGTCAGTTCCAAGTACGGTGTCTTTTCTGAGAGATCGATTCCCATTTCTCTATTAGTTACGTTGTACTCGGCGATAGGGGCGTTCCCATCGGCGTGCCTGTGCGCCCGGTTGCCTGCTTCGTCGCCAGGTACTTCTATCCGCGCAATTAATTTGGCTAATTGATTGTCGCGTCGACGCGCAGCGGTACAGTTCGCGTTACAACAGACCGGGGCGGGCGTTACAGTGTCAATTAAAAGTCCTCGTGAATCATCGAGCGTCGTCGTTCTGCTCGCATATTAAACATGATCGAGTCACCGTCCCGGGATCCGGCTGGAATTAACGAACAATGGCCGAGGATAACGCGTATGCGTCACACGATCCTGATTTTCGAGTCCGCCAACGCCGGCCGATTGTTCCCAATCGATCGCGATGCGATCGATGCTTTGTGGCTGGTGGTACAAGTCAATGACAAGTCCGTCATATGGCTTCTGTGCCTCCCCCTTTATTATCCTCTTGTTATACAAAATTGAAACGAAGACAATTTTCGGAATTCATGCAGACAGTTCGAGTCAATAATAAGTCAGGCCTATAGTTTACTTCACTGTCGTGTTCCTCTTTTTTATAAAAATTCCAGAATTATGATGTATTTTTAGAATTTCTGGAAGTAGTATAATTCAGTAGCAAGTCAGACATGAAAATTTGTTGACACTTGCTTCAGTATTACGTCCGAAATGTAATGGAAACGAAACGGTGAAACAACAGACATTGTCAGAATTCTTACAAAGAGTCAATAATAATTTACAAAGAATAAATTTGACGAAAATTTTTGGAATTCTTGTAATCAGTGTAAATCTATAACAAGTCAGACATACAACTTACATGTAATCTCCTTCAGTGCCGAAACTAAAATTACGTAAATATGTACGATTTCTGCAGGAATGCAGCATAAATCAATAATAAGTCAGACGTGTTCGTTTCGTGACACCTCCCTGTCTCGTAAATCTTCCGAAATTTTCGGATTTCTTCGAAGTAGTATAACCCAATGCCAAGTCGGGCGCGTACTCATCATGCCACCAGCTCCGCTATCATGTTCCCCGAACATAAAAACCGCGCATCCGTTTGTTCGCCGTTAATCCCGCGTAATTGCGTATTTTCCGGCGATTGCAACTGCGTTTGTTTCCCGGCCAGCCGGTACATAAAATCGGCAGCGCTAACGAGCGCCTATTATTCGGCCCGGTAAATATTTATAGGTCTTAACGATTCCGCATTATCGATATTAATCGGGCGCGCGCGCGCACAGCGGGCCCGCGATCGACTGTAACGAGCAACAATGCGAGGACCGATCGTCGCGCATAATGCCGGCTGGTTCCGCGTATTTCATTACGAATTCTGTTGTGGACTCGTTCGAACGGTCGCGCAGCCGGCTTTTGTTTTCGCCTTTTTCTTATCGTAATCTTCCGGCGTCCGCGGTTCGCCCAATATCGGCCGAATAGTATCCCATCAAACGACCGAGAGCCATCGGTAATAATTAGTCGCCGCTTGCGTAGACGGCGTCTTTGAGCAGCCGACCGGTTTCCACCGGGATCACAGGATTTCGTGGATCCCGCGTGCATGAACACCGATGTTCATTAATTATATTCGCAGCCTCTGCGTGTACCTGTCCCTATCACGAGCCGGCTCGAGCAACGCTAATTACTCGTCAGTCGGCTGCAATCGATATTCTTGGATGATGGAAATCGGGCTGCGATACAATCGCGCCAAGGAATATGCAATCTTTCGGACCGAAGCTAGCCAGCCCCTCGGCGAAACCATGCCGGACGGGTATAGTTTTCTTAATTATGTTCGAGGATCTTCGAACGAGATCCCGAGGCGCGGCAGCTTTAAAACACGATCCCTGGATCTCGGGTTCTCGGGCTGGATCTCGGCTGCGAATTAAGTATGCCTAATGAACGACGGAATTATAGCTGGAGCAGCTGCAGATGCTGCGAGAAAACGGTGATTTAATAGCGAAAGAGATGCTCTTATCGGATATTCGAAGAACCGAGGATGCAGCTGCTCTTTGAACAGATTTACGTCGACGTTATCTGTCGATTCGGAAACTTACGGTGTTGCTCGGTTTACGGGGTGCGGAGAAGATTCTGTCGACATGTTTGTGTATTTATGTTTAACTGCTTTGGAAATAAGGGCGCTTGAATTTAATATAATATATATATTTTTTTATCGATTTAACAGAATTAGTCGCAAAATTGGACAATAAAATTCAGAAAGCGTTCAAAATTTATTCCTTCAACTTCGATCAATTTTTGAAGCTCGGTTTTTGTAATTTTGAAACTCGGTTATTGTAATCTCGTTCCACGGATTTTGTGAAGCTAATTCTAACTCTTACCTTCATCGTATCTTCGATAATAATAATCATAATTTTAATTCATCTTTTTTTACCGCTATCTTCGCCTTCTTTTTATATAATTGTAATCTGTTCTTTATACTTTCCCATTTTTAAACTGAAAGGAAATAGAAACGTGCGTCACCATATAAGGAATTTGAAAAACAAATCGGAGTTGCACACTGAACATTCGCAGAAAAAAGGATCGTTATTCATAAAAAGACAGAATTTCCTCCATATCCTGTGTACAGTTGAATCGAAGATCACGAGCTACGAATTGTCGGGGAGTTTGAGATTGCTACACAATTTAATTGTACACAATTTAAAAGAGAGCAATTTTTGAATCGCAAATAATAAAAAGATTTTATACGAAAGAATCGTCGAAGTGACAACGTTCTCGTGACAGAAATGAAGGATCAGTGAGCATACTGGCAGCAAAAAATCGCAGTGATTCCGATAGAAAGAACTCGAAGACGCAATGCCAGCGAACGTTATCAATTATCGAGCCAGAGTAGTGACAATGCATGCACGAGACAGTCGCACGTGAAAGCATACCAGCAATCGTTTTAACATTGTTGCCATTTAAAGCAAAAATGGTGTAAGTCAATTTTTTCACATCATTATTATATCATACTTAACAAAATATCTCGTTCAATTTTTCTTCTTATTTTAATTAAACCACGAATCCGGTTCACATAAAAGAAACAATCGAAACAATCTCTCTCGTTATTGCATTTTACAGAGCATTCAATCCATCCTTCATTATCCACGAATTAACTTTTTTGACATCCACCGTTTCTGCTTTTGACGGTTCGTGTAACAATGTTTTGTGCTCGGCGGAAAATGAGGCGAGCCATTCGAATAAATTTCTGCAAGTAGTTCGAAATTACCGAACTGAAAAAAAACGTCTATTTTAACTAACCCGCTGTTCGTTCGCTGATAAAGCCTTTTCCGCGAGAGAAGAAAAAAAAGTCGACTCCCGAGCTGACAGTCATCCGAGTGATTTCAAAGCAGCACAGTTCTCAAGACGCGCGAAGAATGAGCAAATGGTACTATTAAAACGAAAGTAGTCGGAAAGGCTGTCGTATGAAAAGAGGATCGGTGGCAGTGTCCGAAGGCAGTCGGATCCCGGGTCCCGGCCGCGAAACAGTAGATCTCTCGACGAAATCGATTAACTCGATATCTTTTCTGTCCTCCCGTTCCAGAAAGTGCCCCTGTCCCCGCCGCCGGCATACCGAACGCCATTCATCGGACGTTCAACTCAGGTTAGAATCACGCAAGAACAGACTCTCTCCTTTTCCAAGCTGTTGGGCTCGCTGCTAGACGTTTCGCTATTCCGTGTATGCGTGTTGCGACGACCGTGTCGGCCCGGTCAGCATGTCTGTCTTCCCGATAGGTGTGTCTGTGTGTCGATGTATGCACGGGAGTGCCAGTGACCCGTGCTCTATCGGTGCATGCACGTCATCCCCGTTTAGCGTTTAATTAATGCAACCCCCGGATGGTTTTGTTTTACGAGGGCCGGTCGAGCTGACTCCGTCGGCGAAAGAGATCGTCATCACGGAGCCGGTGCTCCTCGTGTTGCCCGACGAGCCGCGTCCTCTAATTACCACCGAATTATCGTCCTCGTAATAATTATCGTGGAAAAGTCTCGCCTCAGACAGCTCGGCCCGCTCTGCGCTCGCGTGCTCGTCGCTGGCTCTCCCTCTCGCTTTCTCACTCTCTCTTTCTCTCTCTCTTTCTCTCTCCCTCTTTCTCTCACTCTCTCTTTCTCTCTCTCTCTCACTCTCTCTCTCTCTCTCTCTCTATGTGCGCAGCTTTGCTCGATCAAGCCTTCCAAGTAGAAACACGCGCGCAACTCTTTCGAGCATGGTACGTTCAAGCTAACGGCACCGGAATTTCAATTTCGAGACTCGAACGCGGACGACGTGACGCGGGCTCGTTTCGAGATGATCCTAGTGGCATTTGGCATGGGATAGATTCGGTATGAGACACTGCCGGAAACGACAACGGACAGATTGGTCGGACTAGCTGTTTTGCGAACGAAACTCTTTGCCTCGCAATTCATTTCTCGGCGTTGACGATCAACGGATGATCGGCTGACGCGGTTTATAACCACTGCGAACATTACCGAATAAATCACGATGTTCAATCACTTATTTATTTATTTACTTATTCATTTACTTATTTATTTATTTATTTATCCGCGGAAAGAAGTCTTTGATATTAAAAGAGTGTAATACTTGAGGAAAAACGAAATAAAAATTTATTTCACTGATAAAGGTTAGTAAAAATGATTATTCTACAATAATATGCTGTAACGAAAGTTTTAGATGATGATTGCTCAATTCTTATATAATTGCTCGATTCTTAATGATTGCTGAATTATGTCTGTTTTTGCGTGTACAGTAGCATGATCAACCATTCTATTTACACAATTTTGAGATTCGTATTGCTATTGATAACATGAGACTCTAACTACAGTAAATCCTCCCTAATTGACGCTCAAATTGTACAAAAAAATGGAGAATTTTTGAAGTGGATATACGATTTTTATAGTTTTTATAGTTACCGATTGTCAACAACCATCAAAGCGAGCCGCAAGGCTCGAATAATCGTATCTCCTCTTCCCAAATTGTCCATTTTTGTGTACGATTTGAGCGTTAATTAGGAAGAATTTACTATAAAACGATTTCAAACACAGCTGTGAACGAATCAGAACATTCGACAAGCATTGCTGAAATTCATACATAATCAATTACGACAGAAGCGAACTGACGACGAATATAACGCAACCAGAATCCATGGAATATGATCGCGATAAAATATCAATCGCGAATATATATGTGTATGTACATATCGCATTTGTCAAGATTCAAATATAGTATCTCGATCGTTAAATCAAGCATTCTAAATTCATTTCAACGAGACGTTATTGAAATGAGAACGTTGAGGCGAGACTTTCGACCTCGATAAATTCGGCATACGAGTTTGCAATATCCGAGAAAGCAGCGCCGGGTTTATGGATTCAAACGTACGATTTATTATAACAGTGACTATGTGAAACATCAAACAATGGAGGCACTGGAGGCATTTAATCCTTTTCCCGTCGGAAGTGTTCCCTCTGTTCTGTTTCAGAATCTGCTATCAAGTTGTAGGATTCTATTTCCATTTCTATCTTTACAATCGATTTGAAACAGTTCGGAAATATTACAATTATCCTTACGTGCCATATAAGTGTCAGGAAAATAAGTAACTAGCTTAACTAGCTAACTAATTAATCCCTTAAGTAATCTGCGAAATTCCATCTATGCTCAAATTGCCTATCATTTTTTCCCGTTATTAACACTTCGACTGCCAACAATTTTATAACATTAAATTTTAACTAAACTTTATTCAATTAGATAAAAATTGAAAAGCTAAGTTGTACGACATCGATTACTTCTGCAACATTCTCACGTTCTGCAGCTCCCAATCAAATTCGGAAGGCATAATAAATTAGCGTAACGATTATTTTCCAAGTCTCAGCAAACAATTCAGTCACCCACATATTTTTTATCCAACGAATCGTGACGAAGATAATAAAGAAAATAAAATAGCTGCCAAAATATTTGCTTCGGATCCAATGGAATTTTGAATAACGAAACTTGAGACGTTAATGCAAAAGTCAAGCTCGACAACGAAAGTTTAATAATATTCTTTCGTCCTCCTGAAAGAAGAAGTACATTTTCATTTAACTTCTGTTCCTTTAAATGGTTTCAAACGATTTTCCTTCTATANTCCGCGGAAAGAAGTCTTTGATATTAAAAGAGTGTAATACTTGAGGAAAAACGAAATAAAAATTTATTTCACTGATAAAGGTTAGTAAAAATGATTATTCTACAATAATATGCTGTAACGAAAGTTTTAGATGATGATTGCTCAATTCTTATATAATTGCTCGATTCTTAATGATTGCTGAATTATGTCTGTTTTTGCGTGTACAGTAGCATGATCAACCATTCTATTTACACAATTTTGAGATTCGTATTGCTATTGATAACATGAGACTCTAACTACAGTAAATCCTCCCTAATTGACGCTCAAATTGTACAAAAAAATGGAGAATTTTTGAAGTGGATATACGATTTTTATAGTTTTTATAGTTACCGATTGTCAACAACCATCAAAGCGAGCCGCAAGGCTCGAATAATCGTATCTCCTCTTCCCAAATTGTCCATTTTTGTGTACGATTTGAGCGTTAATTAGGAAGAATTTACTATAAAACGATTTCAAACACAGCTGTGAACGAATCAGAACATTCGACAAGCATTGCTGAAATTCATACATAATCAATTACGACAGAAGCGAACTGACGACGAATATAACGCAACCAGAATCCATGGAATATGATCGCGATAAAATATCAATCGCGAATATATATGTGTATGTACATATCGCATTTGTCAAGATTCAAATATAGTATCTCGATCGTTAAATCAAGCATTCTAAATTCATTTCAACGAGACGTTATTGAAATGAGAACGTTGAGGCGAGACTTTCGACCTCGATAAATTCGGCATACGAGTTTGCAATATCCGAGAAAGCAGCGCCGGGTTTATGGATTCAAACGTACGATTTATTATAACAGTGACTATGTGAAACATCAAACAATGGAGGCACTGGAGGCATTTAATCCTTTTCCCGTCGGAAGTGTTCCCTCTGTTCTGTTTCAGAATCTGCTATCAAGTTGTAGGATTCTATTTCCATTTCTATCTTTACAATCGATTTGAAACAGTTCGGAAATATTACAATTATCCTTACGTGCCATATAAGTGTCAGGAAAATAAGTAACTAGCTTAACTAGCTAACTAATTAATCCCTTAAGTAATCTGCGAAATTCCATCTATGCTCAAATTGCCTATCATTTTTTCCCGTTATTAACACTTCGACTGCCAACAATTTTATAACATTAAATTTTAACTAAACTTTATTCAATTAGATAAAAATTGAAAAGCTAAGTTGTACGACATCGATTACTTCTGCAACATTCTCACGTTCTGCAGCTCCCAATCAAATTCGGAAGGCATAATAAATTAGCGTAACGATTATTTTCCAAGTCTCAGCAAACAATTCAGTCACCCACATATTTTTTATCCAACGAATCGTGACGAAGATAATAAAGAAAATAAAATAGCTGCCAAAATATTTGCTTCGGATCCAATGGAATTTTGAATAACGAAACTTGAGACGTTAATGCAAAAGTCAAGCTCGACAACGAAAGTTTAATAATATTCTTTCGTCCTCCTGAAAGAAGAAGTACATTTTCATTTAACTTCTGTTCCTTTAAATGGTTTCAAACGATTTTCCTTCTATACAACGATCCGCAGTCCAGCTGTTCCATGTGTTTATCCTTTAACAAAAGATTCCGAGACGTTTCCGTAAGGCAAACAGCTTCGAAATATTTCGAACAAGAGTATCTCAGTGGTTCCACGGTCCTGGCAATGTGGAGCGTAATTAAATAAATTCGCGACGCGCGATTAGAATGTTCGCGGCCTTCCAAAAAACGAGTAACGCTGCTAATAAATTCCTGGCGCAATTAAAACATCCGCGGCAACAACGCTGTCTGCCCCTTCCCCGCGTTTTTCCTCTTCCGCTGCGGCCGCTGTTTCCGCCGACCCGAACTACGAGGTTCCATTAAAACTTGAGCGGGATTCGTTTCGAATGTTAGTCACGAGCCGAGTGCGGGCCGCATACAGCGCCGGCATTTGCATAGAGCCTTTACATCGAATTTAAGTTCACTTACCACAATTTGCTGAGCCGGATCCCGTGATTCGCGGCATTAATATCCTGCCGCGGCTCGTCGCTGTTTTCCGGCGCCGATCGACGCGGCCGCGGCCCGCCGAGGGGAGGGTGGGCCCCGTCGGGGCGAAACGGGCAAAATCGAATGCGTTTGATCGTCGGCGGAAGGTTAAATCGCAACTATCGACCTTGTCGTTTTTAGGCGCCGCGGCCCTGCGACCCGACCATCCGAAGCCCGCGGGCTCCGCAGACTCCGGGAAGAAATATCGCGCGGGCGTAGAATCTCAAATACTACGTGGGATTTTTAATTAAATTCTGCGTCGCTTAAGGGGATGAATTTAATTAAACGAATTTCACCCCACGGCGACGAAATGCGCGCCGATTACCGACGCGTGTCGCCTCGAGCTGGCCGTGTTTGCTTCTCGATATGCCTCGAGTGTGACGTAGAACAGTTTGCTTGAAGGTGCCTGCGCTACACCCCGAAGACCGCGGGGTGGCGGATCCGACTACTGTGGGGGCGACCAATCGCTGCGCCTCTGGTTTCTTTCCGGATTCAATTCACTTTATCGAACAAGACGTATCGCATATTTTTACCCAAAAATAAGCAATGCAAAGAAATAAAAAGATTCTTTTTATTCGAAAATAAACGAATTAACAGAACGAAAACAGTTTCATTCGAGACTAAATAATATACAGGAATAAAAACAGATTTTTATTCGAAAATAAATAAATTGAGACAATAGAAAAGTTTTTCTTTTTATTGAGGCATAATCAAAATGAATGAATAAAACAGTTTAATGTATCCGCAATAGTACCGCAATTGCAATACTATATTAAAATAAGATAGTATAAGCAATTAACGTATGCTAAAGCAAACGAAAGGTCACTCGCAAGCAATTGGTTACTCTGCATAGTTGATTATCCTAGACGCGTGTACGCGCGAACGAAACGGAACGAGAAGTTCAACTGTGCGCCACGAGCGGAATATTTAACCGGCCGATTTTCGAATGTGTGTTGCAGCCGCGCAGGCGAAGATCCTTGGTCCGGAGGACGTCTACGTGAAGAAGGGCAGCACGATAAGCCTCACGTGCACCGTTAATGTGCAAAGTATACCGCCCAGCAGCGTTTCGTGGCATCACGGAGGAGCCGTGGTGGATTTCGACAGTCCCAGGTACAAGCCACGAGAATCAAGTTCTCGAGTTCCCCACCGTAATGTCCTATCACGAACCACCCTCTTCCTAACCCTTCCCTCACCCCCGAGCACCAGCCCGCTCTATGGACTTCGCTCGCTTTTCCGTTCGATTGCACGCGTTAGGATTATTGTCGAGAGCACACCTCCGCAAGGAATGCATCCGGACTACAGCCTGTCGAATATTCCCCCTGGCACCGCGGGATAGTTCGCGCGATAGGTAATTCCGGATACGAAAACGCTTTGGAACGACTGCGGGATCGCCGGATCTTTCGCAAATTTCACGATGAATTCGACGCTCTTTTTAGTTAAACTGTTCCGGTTTTTTGTTAAACGGACCTTACAAGTTTATGTTTACGCAATGCATTCTGTGCCGATTGCGCCAAGTTTCGCGGATTTCAATTGATTCGTTGTAAAGTGTGTTCTTTCAGCTTCAATTCGAGCTATCAAATGTTTAGAAGTTTTCAGGGGAACGCACTCTGATATCGGCTCGAAGTCACCCCTAAACATTCGAGCAATTTTGTCTGAGGTCGAGAATTTTCGATTTTCCGAATGTATTTTGAATTTTCTTTTCAATCAAATTATTCTCATCGTAAAGCACGCTCTTTTAGCTTTAATTTGAGCTGAGTAACGTTAAGAAATATCCGCGAGATTACAGCTTGAAATCGACTTAAATTTGGGATTAATATCGGGACACCTTTCTTCGGGACAGCGGCCAAGATTTTTCGATTTTCCAAAATGACGTCGCTAGTTTGTTGGAAAGTAGATCACCTTATCTTAAAGTGGATAGTTTCAGCTTCAATTTAGGCTAAGATGCATTAAAAAGCTCTCACGGAAATACTACTGAGGATCGACTTGAAATTTCCCTTTTAAATCGAGTCATTTTTCTTCGCGTCGGTGGTGGAAAGTCTCTGATTTTTCAAAATGATTTAGCGATACTACTTCAATCTACCCGATCTTAAAGCGGATACACGCAGCTTTCGTTTAAGCTATCAAACGTTAAAAAATTCCTACGCGATCATAGTTTTTGAACGTCTCGAATTAACCCTTTCTAATTCAACCAAACTCGTCCGATCTAACAAGAAAGTTTTACCCATTTTCTAACACGATCTCGAAGTTTCTTCTAACTCCAAGTACACTTATTTCGAAGCAAATTCATCCAGTTTTTATTCAAGCTATCTAACATTCAAATATTCTTACGGAAACTATCCTCTTCTTTAAAATAAAAGATTCGTATCGAAGCGCGCGAAGGGACGAACGTCAGGAAACGCCAGCGATAATCGCGCGGGTATTAGACTAACGACCCGCAGAGAGTGCCGCGATTAGTGGGAGGATTTTTAAAGTTCGGTATCCTCGAGGCAAGCAGCGGAGTGTTCAAAGTAGAAGTTGGTAATGCTGTAGGGACGCGTAAACAGCGCCGTTGAAAAGAGAGGACGGTATAACGTGAGCCGACTCGACTCGACGCGACTCGACGCGACGCGACGCGAAGTTCGCGGAAACGCTGCGAGAAACCTTAGAAACTACTAACAAAGTAATATAACCAGTGCTGGCGTGAATAGTAGCAAAGTATCTTTGATAATTCAGCGTTCACCGCAGGGGCGGGGTTTCCTTGGAGACGGAGAAGACGGAAAGCGGCACGACGAGCAAACTCTTGGTGACACAGGCCAGATTGACCGACAGCGGAAATTACACCTGCATTCCGAGCAACGCGAATCCGGCGAGCGTAATGGTCCACGTGCTGAATGGTAAGAGTCCTTTTTATTCCACCGAATTCTTATTCCAGCTCCTCCGCCGCTATTTAATCCCGCACCGCCGGGGTTAACTTAATTTCTTCGGTGCTTCAGCGACGATCAGTCTTGCGCTCAGACGTAGCTGCGCCGTGACACACAACTTTCTTAATATTGATCCGCAGGCTTCTTGTAACACCCGTTTATCCTGTCCCCGACAACCTCGTCACGATTCTTTTCTTCCCACGGATTCGGACTTCCGGTCCAGCGGCTGTTCGCTCCGCTTCCCGCGGTGCGTAATCCTTCACGCGCGGAAATTAAACGTTCTGCAGTCGGCGGGAGGACATTGTTGCACGCTCCGCGGAATTTCTTCGCGGAAGGAAGGCCTCGAATACTTAATCATGCCGCTGGTTCTGCATTCAGACATCAAAATCCGTGTACCGAATTTCGCGGAGTCGTACAGTCGGTCGCGTGAATGCTCGTTCGCATTCAGCGTGCGTACACGGTAACAGTAGAAATGTATGCTGATGGTAGAAATAATGGGGAAATCAAGCTTATGCTGCACGAAACGAGATGACGTTTTGCCGGATTCGTAAATTGTTACACTCAATGAAAAAATAAACGATGTATCACCGTGTAAATACCGTTCGAATCGCGTTGAGAAGCTGTTTTTATATAAATGAGCACATCGTAGTATTACAAGTAATAATACATTTGAAATTGTTCTAAATGATTGTTTGAAATAAACGAGCACTTTGTAGTATTACAAGTGTAGAATTACAACTGCAACAATACATTTGAAAATAACAATGATGTTAAGAATTCGACGATTCTGGATTTTTTATCTACATATTAAATTGCGTGTTTTATCCGGAGATGGCTGTTCGTGTTTCGAGTTTTAACGCGCTCTTTTTTACATCGAGGCGTAATGTGTTCTGAAGAGTGTGATTAGGTAAGACAATCGCTAATTTATTTGCAGGCGTGTCGAACGATCGTCTTAAACGCGAGAGCGGCAAACCGTCTCCGCGGAAATGTCTTTCTGTCCGCGAGATAAATATTAATCCATGAAGCTGCTTCGGCTTCGAATTCCCGGATAATTTTGCCGGAGCGGCGAGCACGCGCGCGCAGATCAAACAATCGAAATTCACGTGTGCCAGCACGAGCGGTACATAATGAAAAGCATCACACGCTGTTCATCAAACGATCTTTCTACTTTTCGGTATTTGGACGCCGAATGGAAAATTCGAATGTAAAATTCGTTCGCAGAGGATCGCGTGTGGCGGCCATGCCCGTCAAACAGCGCAGAGAAATTCAGAGATTGCGCGTTAAAATTAATTATCCTTCTTTATTCCCCAATCAGCCGGTACGACCACTTTCATCCGCAATTTGATGACCGACATTCTTCCCATAATTTTAATCGAAAATTCACGTTCCGGCGAGCGCGCGGCCAATGATACGATTCCCGGCAGCCGAGGTCAATCCATGTAAAATGGAATCACGGGTAAATTTATGTAATAACACAGGGGATGCCGAGGGATTAAGCCGCAGTCGATCATTACCGAGCACTTTGGATCATTCCGGTCGTCTATATCGCCGCGATTGATTAACGGGAAGCAGATGAACCGAACGTATCCTGCGTTTTGTATAATTAATTCCGAAGGACCGGGGCTAATGGGAGGATCGCGAGTTATCGAGCACCGAATTCCGAGTCCCCCCGTTGGTTAGGGTTCGCAGAGTCGCCTAAACGGAGCCCTTCGGGATCCGGGAAGATTTTCGATCCCCGGACGATCGATTTTTTCGCTATTCGAACGATATCAGTCCCAGATATCTGTGCAGGTTCTCGCGACACGGCGCACGGTCGCGCGCCGGCGTTTTTAGGCGGCTTCGTCTTTTTTTGCTCGATATATGGGAATCGCTGGAGCGAGGGCGGGCGCGACGTCATGCACACGCCCTTCCATAAACGTCGCTCGCAAATGCATTTAAGAGGAAAAATCAGCAAGCATCGGCTAAATCGCGAACACTTTGCCGGCGCGTCTCGCGAAATCCCGTGTCCCGATCCGACACGTTCCGACGCCCGTTCACGAGAGCGATCCATACGCTCGTAGACGCCGCCTCGTTCGCCGTGAAAGCGTACATTAACGCCGTTAACACGCGGCAGTGTCGCCGATGGGAAATGTTTGCCGTGACTCTCGCAAAAGAACAACCGGCGAAAAGTACGTCCCGCTCGATATTCTACACGGTGAATTAACGTTTTCGTTTCGGGGGGAAGAGGCGCGACGCGGCAGTCTGTTGGCACAAGGGTTAACGAATCGGGACGTTTGACGAGCCGTGCCGGGGACTATAATCGATTTTCGAGCGGCGCGTTGATTCCCATAAGTCAACGTCGCGCGATTCCATCGCGAATTTAAATTGTATAACTTCCAGCCACTGACGGCCCCCGCGATTCTCCATAACTCAAACGTCACGGTGGAAGTTCAAGGCACGGTTTTGCATCCCATTTGTGTCACAATTATTCGATAACTTTGATAGCAAGCATTCCCGGGGAAATAACAATGGGGCGAGCGGACTTCTACAACGAGTTCGTTGAATTCGGCGAATGCGGGGGAAGAATCGAAGAAACCTGCCGCTTTGTATCGGGACAACTTGATATAATTTTCCAAATTGGTATGTCATTTGTGGAGGAATTGTCCGATAACATCGATAGAGAAATTCCTGGGAGCATAACAAGCAGCGAGCGGCATTCAATTCGATAAGCAGATTATTGATGAGCTCTACTAATCGGGAGTTTTCGATCTTTTAAATTCTTTTGAAGTCGAATTTCGAATCGAACTATTCCTATCGTGAAGTACGTTCTTTCAGCTTTAATTCTAGCTAAATAACATGAAAAAATACTAGCGAAAATGCGATTTAAAATCGTCTCGAAGTTTCAGGTTAAAATCGAGGCATTTTTCTTTAAGACGAGTCCGGCTTTTCGATTTTTCAATGTGATGCCGCTATTCTTTTTTAAGCGCCGTTTGTGTCATAATTATTCGATTATTCGATCATTTGTCACGAGTAAAGAATTATGATCAGCGTATCAGATGATTCGAAAGAAAGATTTCAGCAGCTTTGTGTCAAAATAACAGCATTATTTTTTGAAATAATCAAATTGAGATGTCACCTGTGTTATTATTATTATACGTAATTATTTGGTAATTTCAAGCAGCCTAACTCCGAAGTATCCTGTACAAGTTCGATGTATTTGTTGAAATTAAAAAGATTAAAGTAAACGTTTGCAACGATTCCAAACAAAGAAGCCTACATTTTTGTATGAGAACAGTTCAGTTGCAACGAAACTGATAAGTCGAGGATCTGCTGACAAGAGGGCCGACTGCAATCTCAGTTTGTCATCTCCGGGACCTCGGCGCCCTTGCAGTTGTTCGAGACAGTCGGCCCTTTAGCATCACAATCGTGCGACAAATTCCTCGACAATAGCTGTCCCAGTGTGGCGATGTCCCATCTGAATGGAGGCCACGGAAATACACAGCAAGGAAAAGGGACAGGCTGTTCATTCATCAAGTATCGAAGTCCCTCGTCAGAAAGTTTGACAGGCTCCTCGTGCATTGCGGCAAGTAGTCGGCCCTTCACGCACACACTCGGTTTCGATCCGTTGTCAGCCAGGCAACACTCGTGGCAACGCGTGCAATAACTTGCTAGGCGAGTCCGCCAATCTAGGCTGTCAGTCGTTTCACGCACGCATCTAGGCGGAGCATGTCAGTCGTTGAAATCGACGACTTATTCGGCTCGCAATTCCCTGCAATTAGTTCAACGATGAAAGTAGGCGAAATTACCGAATACATTGGAGCCTCGATTATCCGGTCGTCCGGTCGTGCGTTATTAAAGTACTTTTTAACTGTGACCAGGTCGATCTAAAGCAACTCGTATGCAAAGCGATTTACGAATAAAGAATAAATCTGGAACTGTGATTAAAAGATTTTTCTGTTGCGATATTTGTATTGATATTACATCGTATACGCGTCGTTGTTACAGATATCTTATTATTAGTCTACGGAATTTTATGAAAAATAAAAGTTGTCTGAATCAATAGCGTGAAACACGAGTGAAATGAAAATATGCATTTCTTCAAAAAATTGATCTACACTGGCACCCCAATCTATCAGGAAATCCATCCTACTAGTCTCAGTAACTGGTCCAAAATTTTGCTATCGACCTAGGTGGACCAGTTACTGAGACTAGTAGAATTCGTTTTCCTGATTTTTGGGATCTGTCCGGAAATCAATCCTACTAGTCTCAGTAACTGGTCCACCTAGGTGGATAGCAAAATTTTGGACCAGTTACTGAGACTAGTAGAATTCATTTTCGGGATTTTTGTCATCTGTCCAGAAATCAATACCACTAGTCTCAGTAACTGGTCCCACTAGGTGGATAGCAAAAGTTTTGACCAGTTACTGAGACTAGTAGAATTCATTTTTGGGATTTTTGTCATGTGTCCGGAAATCAATCCTACTAGTCTCAGTAACTGGTCCACCTAGGTGGATAGCAAATTTTGGACCAGTTACTGAGACTAGTAGAATTCATATCCCACTAGTCTCAGTAACTGGCCCACCTCGGTCGATAGCAAAATTTTGGACCAGTTACTGAGACTAGTAGAATTCATATCCCACTAGTCTCAGTAACTGGCCCACCTCGGTCGATAGCAAAATTTTGGACCAGTTACTGAGACTAGTAGAATTCATTTTCGAGATTTTTGTCGTCTGTCCGGAAATCAATCCTACTAGTCTCAGTAACTGGTCCACCTAGGTCCACAGCAAAATTTCGGGAGGCGACCGAGCGAATGCGCCTTGCACCAGCCAATCTCGCCTCTTATTGGTCAGTGTTTTTCGTTAATAACTCATAAACGAAGCCTCGGAGAAAATTTTCGCAAAGGAAAAAGTTGCTTCAAATGACCTCAGGAACCTCCCGTTTCCGGATTGCGAGACATTTTCGTGACACCCTGTATAATCGTTGTTCGAAGTTCTGCACATTACGAGTAACCGAAGCAACTAAATTCATAGTTAATGAATTAGTTTGATTCATATCGGTTAAATGTTCTCGAAATCGAAAGATCTCTTTACATGGTCTGTTTCCCGGCTCGTATCGAGCGTGTTCTTTCCGTTCGAACAGTTTCATCATATCATCCTATCACTTCTGATCCAGCGGAAGATAGACACAGTTTAATGGACACGGTCCTATTAATTCCCGCGTGATTGGACGAATTCCCGGCAAGTTTCGCTCGCGTATAAATATCGGCAGGGAGAAACATTTCATTGGTGCGCTAAACGCGTCGAATTGTTCCACTTTCACCGCTCGCATCGTGCATTCAGCCGGACGGGTAGGGTCGCGGTCCGAGCGTCAAACAACAATGAACTGCTAATCAACCGGGCATGAATTATGGCGCGAAGATTAGTGGAGGGCGCGATTCCATTAACGGACTTCAATCGAGCATACTTTCGGGCTGTATCATTGATACGGTTGTAGCACGTTCGGGCCGCGCGCGACCCGGCCCGGCATCGATCATGCACAAGGTTAGGGGAGAACGGCGGAGGCTCGCGCGACGATTCGCGGTGCCGCTTGGAAAATGCTGTACAGGGGGATGAAAATTAATGCGACGCAGTTCGTCTGCATAATTAATTCACAATCGACGGTGGCTCGGGCTCGGGCCATCGACGTTATTTCAAACACGGCTGATTACTCGGCAAAATTGACCGCAAATTTCAATTATTTCGCGATCAACCGACCGGCCCGGGCCGGATTATTCGGCGCGCATTAACGCAATTACGGGCGGGCTCGAGGCGGCGCCGCGGCGCTCCGCCACGACGAACGACGTCGTTTTTCGGACGGAACGACCGCGCGACGGCCTCGAATCAGCCTCGAACGAGATTTTCCGGCCGCTCGTAAATCGGTGAACCCGCCGGGAACACGCGAGGAAAGCGACCCTCTCGGTCCCGCCCGGCACGGCCCACGAGCCGCGGTTACACAGCCGTGATTATCTTTATTACTGGCTGGACGTTGCGTGCAGACCGCCGTTCATCCGGCCCCGATACATCGTTAACATTTGTCTGGATATGCGAAATATATGTATGGAAATCGTGTGCACCCTGCCTCGGGGATAGCTCCTGATTAACGCTGGTTTCCCGGCCACCGTGCACCAGCCACGCCGACTGCGTTCTGTTCCTCCGCAGCTGGTCGCGCAACCAACATCCCTCCCCCGCCGCTGTCGGCTGTTATTAATGGTTATCTGTAATGGAAGACGACGGCCCGTGAATTAGAAGTTTGTTCTCGGGATAGGCCACCCCTGTGCTCCCTGAAGGATTTACCGTGACTTTGATTGTGCGGTCGCCGGCCGAGCTGCCGCCTCGGGTCAGCTGTTGACCTGTGCTACCGGATGCCCTTAAGCTTCTCTTACGCCGCGTACAAGCGAAGAATAATTTATTATCACCTTAATTATGCATCCTCCCGGAGGATTTCGGGATTGGAGCACCGGCTGATCTACAGCGCGCGGCACCTCGAAAATCGAACCGTGATTTTACGAAGAAACTCGTGGCCCGCTGTCTTCCTCGTGGCCGGCTGAGTCCTCAAACGCTCAGAAACTCCCGCGGGAAGACGCTTCAAGTCGATTCAGAACGACTTCTTCATGTTCGAACATTTCTCTCTTTGACCTACCGAGCAATCAGCTTTCGGGATTCGACGATTTAAGGAATTGTCTTCGAATACTGTCTGAAACCTCTGAGCGAAGATATCTCGAGGCAGAGTCTTCGAGCTTCCGTTTGAGCCACTGCAAGGTCGGAATATCCTATGGGAACGTTCTTCGAAATCACCTTGAAACGGACATTATTCCCCAAGCTGTCGATTTGTACATTTCGTCGATTCAACGTAATTATTTCCATTAGAATCAACGTAACTTGATCGCGAACTGCAGTTTTCTAGCTTCGATGCGAGGTCTCGAAAGTTCCAGCTAGCCTGCGAAAATATTCTCCAAAATCAACTTTAACGAACTCCTTAATATTCGAACGTTTTCCTTCGAGCTACTTGTCCGAGTTTCTCGATTTTTCATAACGATGTAGAACTTCCGTTCTGAACGAAACTTAATTCATTATTGACACGACACGGTCCGGGCTGTTGAAAACTTTTGCATTTGGCCGGCATATATTAAGATCGTTGCATCGCTATACATAAATGGATAGAACTTGCAAAATTCCAGACAATTGAGTTAATTTGTAAGATATGTTGCTTCATCCAAGATACGAGACATGTGTCTCCGTGAAGAGGTACATTACGATGTTTGTAGATGCAAATCTATCTTCAGGTAAAGCTGCTAAAATTTCGGAATATGGTCCTCTGCAATCCCCTCGCAAGCATTCCGGGAAGTTCCAAAAATCGTCGGAGAACCCACATCAAAATCGATCTGTCGTCCCCCATGAGACGCAATCATAATTCTCCGGTGAAGTTGTAGCACGTTCGAGCGGCCGTATAATTTATCGTGGCATTGATCGCGTGGTCATGCGAAGAATTTCAGCGCCGAGTGAATCATCGGTACATTCTGCTCGCTTCTAGACACTGTCCACCGCGCACAGAACACCGTCGAGCCGTATAAATCGTCCGTAGAAACCTTTGGCATTTCGAAGAACGTACGAACGTCTCTGTCCGGTATTATCGATTCGTCGAGCGCGCCGGAATGAAAATCCCGGGGTCGCCGTGTGTTCGCGCACTTCACGTCGAATGAAGCCATAAAGCTCGTTCGGAAGCAACAGGACGGCGCGGGGAGCGGCGAATTTTTTCGGCTAATTCGTTTACCAGCAGGCTAAACGCGCGCTGTAAAACAACGGAGCCGCGGCGAGGTTGGGCGCCGGGACACGCGGCGCATGGCATTACGTCGACGAGTGAGCGAAAATAGAAGGGAACCGGGTCTGAACGATATTTCTTCTGTTTCCAGGCGAGCACCCGGCGGCCATGCAACACGGCGGAAGCTGCGGCGTGGCGCCGACCATTCTGCTGGCGACCGTGACGCTGTTAATCGCGAACCTGCTGAGGTGAGCAGTCTCGTTGTGAACCGTGGCGACTTCGACTAAATAAAAACGAGCGGTCCGGTCGGTGTGAAAACGGTGCTGCCCACAAAGGGGTCGTGTTCCCTTTGGCCCGCGGGATCGGAACTAACGGTCGAGGAATAACACAGAGAGAGAAAGAGAAAGAGAGAGAGAGAGAGGGAGAGGGAGCCGATAGGCACCGTGGCTCTCGACCCGGGACAGATCAATCTGATCGCGCGAACGTGACACGTGGTGGACACTGTGCGCGATGGATCGGCGTAAGGAGGACTCGAAGGACGTCGCAGCCCCGATTTCCGACGCTCGGCCGAGCGATCGGGAGTGCGTCGACGAGTCGCCGACGAGTGAGACGTCGAGGAGCCGAGGCCGGCCCTGGAGCATCGTCGATCCGACGAAGACTGTCTCGACCGAACGGCTCCAAGTACCTAGACGATATTTACGGTTGAACGATGCGGCGTAGCTAGGATAAGTCTCTCGCACTCACTATCTCTCGATCTCTGTTCTCGCCTGTATATAAAGAAGGAGGGGTTCGTCGGCCTCGTTTGTACAGAACAGCGCGTCCGAGGCCGCCCGCCGGAACGTCGTCGAGCCTGAGCTTGCACGTTCCGAGCATCGGTTCGCAGGACTTTCCCCCACGAGAGATCATCGAATGATCCACGATTCTCGCCCAGGCTCGACCTTCGTTCGCTGTTCGACGAACTCCCGAGGCTGGAAAGCGATTGGAAAAGAGAGAGGGAGCCAAGCAGAGCTAGAGGTCGTCCTCGCGATATGTTTCTGTTTGCGTTGAGGAGCGAAATCGCCGGGGAACTGTGTTTAATCGATCGCTTTCCACGTCCCGTATCCCCTAGCGAACTCGATAGCGGCGATTAGTCGTTTGACGTCTTTACTGAATCATGCAATCAGACTCGGTACCTCGCAAGGATCCCGAGCGCCACGGACTGAACGACGTTAAACGATAGGTCACGTCGAATAGGTAAGGACATTATGTACATGTATACTTAAGAGTGGATAATAGGTATTCGTTGCGTATCGAAACGGGAGATGACGGGGATGATCGGTGGATGGGAGAAGCGTAGAAGTTTGTTGTCGTCGAGAGCGTTCGGTTGCCCGACAAAGTGCGCTTAAAACGGGCGACGCGCGTGGATCCGCTTAGAACACGACCGAAGGAAAAGGGCTCCGGGACTCTCTTATCAAGTGGATGGCACTCGATGAACCGAGCCGCCAGATGCATGGCCTCCTCCGCGGACCTACAGCTCGGTAAACGTTAAATTCCTAAATCGAAGATCACGGTGATCCTGCTAATCTTTCGTCTCGTCGATATTCTTAGTACCTCGATGTTCCCTATTGTATTTAATCGGACACCTCTCAGTCGATTCAGTGAGTTCCGGTCACTTATTCGAGTCTGGAGCCACTTTTCCGACGCTCCGCGAACATTTCTTTCTTTACACGCGATTGTACTCTCGCATCGAAAAGTCTTTCTAAACAGCGGGGAGAAAAGGCATCTACGTCGCCTACCGTCGATGCTCGGAATCATCGAAACGGCGGCAAGGGAGATCGCTCGGAAATCTGCCTTCAACGAAACTGCCTGCGAACTTCGATCAACCTTACGTTGCGACATCCCGCCAGAACTGTATCGCGCGAAAATGCCGAGGCAATTTAATCTCCCCCTTAGATTCTCAGTCCTCGCGAAACTGATCAATATTCACGGCGATTTTCTGCAGAAACGATTGATTCAATCATCGCGCAAATTACTGCCAGTGCAGCGGCTCGCGTTAATAATCGGGCAGCTTTTTGGAACGGAATAACTTTCTTCGAAATGACTTGAACGTTTTTTAGCTTAGCTTACGGTAACTGAAATGATTTTCTTATAATTTTGCCGTTACTTGCAACGACGAGGGAAGTAAAAGACTCGCGTTTTATTGTCGTTTTTGTCTCAGTCTGCAAGGAAAGTTTAAAAAATGCGAGTCAAGCTGCAGACGTTGAAACGTGTAAAAAGCACAAGATTCCTCGCAGCTTTTGGTCGAAAATTTCGATGATATTTTCAGCCTGCAAATCACAAAGACCTCCGAAAAGAACTGTTTCGATCTTCGTTGCAAGTTCAAATAAAAAGTGAAAGAACGCAGGCGTCTTGTTCTCTTTCAGACCGTCTAACATTTCGAGAAAATAGTCGTTTCGTGTACCATCGAAACAAGTTATCCTGTTTCAAAAATGACGCTCGAGCGTTAACGCGAGTCGCTGGGACGTTTCGTGGGAGGTGCAGCGTATTTTTGGTGAGCTTCCTCGCGGACGAAGTTTGTTTTTCGTTTCGCCGAATGTCGAATCGTGGTGGCCGCGAGGCGGTGGCACGACGACGGCGACTTCATTACAGTAGATTTACTACGATGTAACGTAACCGAGTAAAACGATATCATAACGGCTAGCGTGGTTAAGGTGCGACTTTACCTTTAGGACTAACATAGATTTTTTATAATGTTGTACCACGACGGAGGTAGCGTGTTAAACACGGTTGTAAAACACTGCCGGGCGACGCGTTCGCGTGTGGCCGAGAGAGCGAGAGAGAGAGAGAGAGAGAGAGAAAGCGAGAGAAAGCGAGAGAAAGCGAGAGAGAGAGAGAGAGAAAACAAGAGAGAAAGAGAAAGAGAGAGAGAGAGAAAAAGCGATAGAGACCGGAGAGCGTGGATCTCGAGAGGCGCGGATGCGTAGGATGTATCTCGCGGTATTATTCCTTCTTGTATAGTTTATATACGGTAATTTATGTCGTTGTGAGAGGACAATATTTTGCAGTTGACGCGTGAGGATCGCGCGACGAACACGACGGAAACACGACACCGTTTTCTTTAACAGGCGAGCCGAGGAAAAACCGAGGATCGCGCGTGCGGACTGATCGATGTGTGTGCGTGTGCCGTGTGCTTGTGTCGTTGATCGTCGATCGATCGGGCCAGTTTTTTTCGGAATGTTGATCGTGTGATATATTCAGAGAGTTTAGCGGTTCGAGACGGACGTTGATTGATTATAATGTTGTTGGCTGAGAGAGAGAGAGAGAGAGAGAGAGAGAGAGAGATCGGAGAGAAAGGGAAAACGTTGATCGGCGTGATTTCATTCGACTTTTATCGGGCAAACTTTTTTCTCGACCCCACCGAGTCTCGTTCCTTTGGTATAACCGCCGTTCGGATGATCTAGGTGCGAACGGACGCGAACGGAGCGACGCTCGCGTCGCGACGTGCCGACGAAACAATCGTAGCCCTAAATCGGCGGGGAATCGCGAGGGATCGGTCGCGCGGTTTAGGCGATCGGTTTAGGGGTGCCCGCGGTTCACGGGGTCAGGTCGTCCGTGACCGACGATAGGTAAGCCTAGATCGCATTGTACATACGAATTCATAATCGATAAACAAAAAACGAAAAATGTATCATGTTATAGAGGAACGTCAAGCGCGAATCAAAGCGGCGGAGGTAAAACGAAAGAAAACGACAAAAAAATGAAAATAAACAACGTAACACACACTCACACGAACTAATAAAAAAACAAGAAAAACAGAAACGAAATGTCGGGAGAACGGTGACGAACGGAGCGGCGACGAAACACCCGAAGTAACGGAACTATAATACTGTAAAGAAAACGAAAAAAAAAACAAAAATATTCATCGACGTGGATACTGTTTCAATAAATGTAATGATGATATAAAACGAAAACCAACTGAGATTCGTTCAACCCGATATCTTCTAGCGATCTATCGCCTCGTGTCCCGTGCTACGAACCAGGAATTCTTCCGGGTTCGCCTGAACAGAACGATCCTTATCGCCGCGTGTGTCGATGCGGTACGCAAATTAGTCGAGCGTTCGCAATTTTTGCCGGAACGCGCAGGCGATGGAAATGAGTTTGTTGTTTGCGCGACCGTGTTCGAAAACACTCGTCGGACACGACGAGTCGACGGTTTACGGACAGAAATAAAAAAACGTCGAGAGGAAAAGCAAAAAGGAAAATAAAGGGAGAGAGAGAGGAGGAGGAGGAGGAGAGGGAGAGGGATAGAGAAATGGTGGAAGAAAAAAGAACGAGTGATCGATGGGGATGGCCTAAAAAATTCGAGGGACAGGACGCCGTCGCCGGTGCCGAAAATTCGAGTCCCGATGATTTATCATCGTCAACGCGGACGACGCGCGCGGCCGCCGCAAGAAGCGTCACTTAATCTCGCAAATGTCAAATTCTCCTCGGAACAGTTTCAGATTCAATCTCTCTCGAGCTCGCCGTGTTCGACCCGCGCGTCGAGCACCGGCGTCGCCGGTGCGAAAGAAAAAAAAAGCAGGAGAGACTCCGGGATAATACGCTTACGACAAAGCGCCATTACGTCATATTTCCCCAGACGCCGGAGTAATCAATTTCGTCGCCGAAAAACAATCGAGCCGGAGCGTGTCTCGCGACGCCCGACTTCACCAGGATCCGATACAATCGTTCGCCGCGGTCCTGTCTAACTCTCGCCGCCTCGACACGCCGGCAAATGAAAAAAAGGAGGATCCTGGCGCCTCTGCTTCGCCTCTCCCCCTCCCGAAACTCGCCTCCAGCCACGCCAGCGTCCCTTGGCGTCCTTCTTTACTTTCCCGTTCGCCGGCGCACACCTGCCCTTCCACCTCCTCGTCCTTGTTTTCAGCGATACCCTTCCAGTTTGGGCGCCGGCAGTTCGTCGACCCTGGTATTTCATTAATCAGAGAAAGATTCGACGGTTGATTGATCCTCCGGTGCCATCCGAAAGCCATTTGAAATATTAGACCGGCGGGGTAAACGCCGCGGAAAACGGGGACTCGAGAACGGCGCTTAGTGTTTCGGAAAAAGGTCCGCCGCCGTCGTTGCGATCGGTTCGAGGACCGCTGTTATGGTTTTTTGCTTGCTACTCCAGATTTAGGGATTCGCAGGGGTCTCGCTAATCCGGCTGGGCGAGACGCCGCCTGCAAAAACGGTCGCAAAACCTATCGACTGGTCGGACCGGATTTCGGGTGACCCTGGTCAAGCGATTCCGTCGTAAAAACCGTGGGACGCGCGGCGGCAGTGTCGATGGGTACAATTAAATCAAGGAACCAGCGTGGCGGAACAGGCTAAAAAGCGTTCGATGCATTTTCCGTGATTTAAGTTGTCGTTATAGTTGCGGACAGGATATTCTAAAGTAAAATCAACCGGACGAAAAAGTGATCGCATTCGGCAGTCGGAGCAACGAACTTCCACAACGAATTCCTGCACTTCGGTCAACTTCGAAACAAAGTCCTTTGTTCGGACTACAGTAGCCTGATTGTTCTATGGTCGATTTTACGTCCTTAGAATGTGCCAACGACCATTCGATTTTCATGGATCGTGTAACACGAACCGTTGCAAAGGACCTTTGTTTCCGAATTCGAAACTAGTAAAATTCTTTCTTTGTCCAACAATTTCAGCGACTTGTAAGTAATGCATGATTCTTGATTCCATTGAGAACCAGGAAACATTTCGAACATTCGAAAAAGATATCGGGGAACGTGCGAGGATTTCACTTTCGCCTCTCCTTTCTCGAAATATATCTCGACAATCGCTAGGACCCCGGCGCCCGAAGAAGATGGACGGGAACGAAAGGGTCCGTGGATCAGCCATTAGCCTGTCGCCGGGCAGTCGGCGAGCCTTCGTGGAAGGTTTGGAAAAAGCTTCGTCTCCCGAAAATCGGCCGACACCAGGTGGACCGGGTTCGTTCATTAATTGTGACAGCGGCGAAGCTGGAAACAGTCGTGTCCGCGGATAGCGGCGGATAGCTCGACAGGCTTATCCCGTCGTTCGTTTTCCCTTGGAGCGTGTGTAGGTGGGACGGTCTGCTAGAGCACGAGGTAATTTCCACGCGTGAAACTGGACCTCCGGAGAGCCGGGATATATCCGTGGTAACCGGTGGAAATGGAAAAAAAGTGGGCGAAGCTGTTGGACACGCTAGCTAGGCTCAGTTTTACATATCTGGCTTGGCCTGGAAAAATATATGTACACATATATACATATACATATATATATATATATAGTATACATATGCATATATATACACATCTATATACATGTGCATATAGCGTTCGAGGCGAACGCGAGCCGTCTTTTAATAGTTGCACAACTCGCAAACCTTTTTGAACAACTCGTTCGACCGGTTTTCCGGCCGCTAATCTCGCGAGATTGCGCTCGCCTGTTCGACAGGACATCGGATTGCACGGTGTCTGATTACGTTCGACGGGTTGGTTCCCTTGGAAAAATTGCGACGTGATCGGCCACGGTGTCCGGAAAGCAGCGGATCCTGATCCATAAGCGCTCGGTTTAGGTAATGTTTCACTGTGCGTAAGAAGCGATATTGTTGATCGTGATTTTGATTGTGCGGTTAGTTGCAGGAGTTCGGCGCCGGCTCTGTGGTCGACCTATTCTACTGCTGTCGACGAAGTTCCACTGCAAACAACATCGGTGCGCGGCGTCTTGGGCGAACAACACTCAGGTAGAAATGATCTTCTGTAATATTGATCTTTGCGCGGTTAACTCGATATGGATCGCGTTTCTCGGCTATACTATTAAGTTTTCGTCCGTGTCTGAGAGATTGCTTCGCCACTGGTGCTCGATGGCACGATGATAGGATTCGTAGCATTCGACACACAGTGTTCGTGCACCTTTCGAAACGCGATAACATTTTCGAAACTGCATCGGAGGACTTGAATTTTGTTATGTTAGAGCGACCAGTTTACCGGTGGCTAGAATATGCTTTCTTGCTTTTGCTATTACTTGGACTGTATATTTCTTAGATCGTTGACTTTAATAAAAAGATAATAGCAAGATTAAGAGAAAGTATTTGAGTCGTTGTATAGTAAACTAGGGTCTGTAACATTTAAAAGAAGTTCAAGTCATTTGGGTCAGTTTTGAAGATATTATAGCGATTTAAAGGTGTACGAATTACTAGTATAGTAAAATCCTTCAGCTTGCAAACAAAAATGGACAATTTGGGGAGCAGAGATACGATTGTACGAGCCTTGCACCTCGTTTTGATAACTGTTGACAATCGGAAACTATAAAAATTAACCGCGAGGTTCGAATAATCGTATCACCTCTTCCGTAATTGTCCATCTTTGTTCACAAGCTGAGGGAAAATTCGAGAGAATTTCTCTGTACTTTAACCCTTTGCAGTCGGAGACATTTTAACTCGACATTCAAAATAGTTTCTTCGACCTATGGTATTTCCATTTTATACAGCTTAATGCACTTTATACGTATGAAACTGCATTTTGCGACTCATGCAACAAGTACACTTTTAGCAGATTTTATATGTAAACCGACTTGATGATGTACAAATCATTTCGTTATGCGATACAATAGTTTTTAATGGCGTCGTAGAGTCGACACTCGAGCGCAAAGGGTAAATTGGCCATTGTAGTACACAGGAGTCTGTCGAACCACCAGGACCGGTTTCAGAATATTCCAACGAAATTTTTTAATCGAGAAGGCCACGCAATTATTGGCTCGTGCCACTCGCGCTGAAAGCTTACGGCACGCAGCCTCAACAAGTGTTTAAGTTCACGATTTATCGCGACGGGAACTGGGTTGTTGCATGCGAATGAGCATACACGGGGGTCCCCGGATAAGGGAATTTCCATAACGCTGGAATTTCAAAGAAGATCAGTAGTCGTAAATGAGATTGTTCCGAAGCAGATATGGGTCAGCTAGCTACGCGCGCCACTCGAGCAACGAAATTCTAATCCGGCATTTTTTATGCGGCCGGTGTATATCCAACGAAAGCGTTCATTACATTCCGCCTCTCTCCGCAACTGCAACAACTGTTAAGTGAAAATTCAATCGGCCGGGAGTTAACGAGGAAATAAGTAGGTTAAGTGTGTGTCGAGGGGCGCGGGGGCGGGGACGGGATCGCCGCTAAAGGATGGCGAAAGCGATCGCCGAGGGGGAGAGGGTGGCTCGGAACTGTTAAAATATCAGCCGTCCATCGAACCCTGTTTGCCGATATTTTACCGGTTTAATTGTTTTTCAATAGTCGAGAGCAATTCCGGCTTTTCACGCGCGACAGCCAGAGGGGTTGGTAGGATGAGCGAGAGGGGGTTGGCGAGCAGGGAGGCTGCAGAAGTATTCCGGGCCCTGGCCATTCGTTACCGCGATACTGAATCGCGAGCTAACCGGTCAAGATGGCGTGCACCCCTTTATTGGCAACATAATTCTCCTATTGCCCGGGAAATTAGTACGTGACTCGTCCAATCGACGGGGAAAATTTGGCACGTGAGCGAGCACTGCGATCGCCACGATCGCAGAATCTCGATGCAATTGCATTTTTCCTGGGCTCCTCTTGCCCGGGGGACAGCTCGTATTAATGACAGAAACTAATGAGAGCAGCGCTAAGTGATATTAACTGTTTCTCATATTCTGTTAAATATTTCATGTTCCTTTTGGTTCGATTATGAAAAAATTCTTACTTATATCAAAGACGTCATCACATACAATTTGAATATATTACGAAGTAATATATATATATATATATATATATATATATATATATATATATATATATATATATATATATAGAGAGAGAGAGAGAGAGAGAGAGAGAGAGAGAGATAAAAACAACATTTAATTCGTCGAAAGCTTCGGACGTCACTTCAACGGGGCGCATTAATCGACACACTTACCCTGTCGTTAATGTATTACATCCAACAAGAAACGAATGGACGCTTGTTCCGGCGATTGAAATTTCGAAAAAAAACACGGCTGCCGCGTCCCGTAAAAAGTACGTTAATCTATCGTTGAAATAATATATTTCGCGGATTCAGCGGGAACTGTTGAGTAGCGAGAAAAATTGTAGCCGTTGCAATTTTCAATGGAATTACAAGCGACAGCGCCGCGCGCCGGATTACTTTGCTAGATTGAATTTTTATCGAAATCGCATCACTTAGCGAAATTTGGCAGCGGCCGGTGGCTTTAAATCGGCCCAGTTTTTCGGGGCTGTTCACTCGAACGAATTCATCGAATCGCCGGGTCGAACCGCGACTGGACGGTGGACGGAGGGAGCGGGGAGGTGGAGGAGGAGGAGCGCGAACGGACGACGGGGGATGAGTTTTCGGATCGGGTCGTTGCTGTTTATTCGTTACAGCGAAATTGAATCGCGAGTCAACAGTGCAGGGTTACAAACACACTTTTTACCCCGGGGTGCGTGGAGCGCGAGAGCAAGAGCGGCCTTCTTGCTCCCTCGTAATGAGCAACCAGGCAAATCACGGTGAAAATTAACTGTCATTTCCCGGTCGAAGTGATCCATTGATTCGTCCGGTTCGCCGGAGCCCGGAGAGCTAAATTAATCCCGCGGGACACACTCTTCCCATTCGAGCCGGTAATCACGTCTCGCCGAGTTTCGAGCCGGTTTTTCTGTCCCGTCCGTTCCAGGAATTTTATTCGGGGCCGAGGAGCAGAAACGAAGATCCAGGAGGGAGATTATCGAAGCGGTCCCTGTGCGGAACGCGCTGCGAATTTCCTGTTATCCCAGACCCCGGGCCCGATCGGTATGATCTTTAATTTGAGCAAGAATGAAAGACTGGAAGCTGGAAGATACGTGAAATTTATTACCGATGGACGATGCCGCTAACGAATGTGTCCCGCGGGAACGGAACGGCTGGACAATGCAGTTTTCCAATTTTCACCCTGGCCCGCCCCCGGCCTCCGCCGCCGACGAAACCGTGTGAACCTCCGTTCGACCTCTCCGGTCTACCCAGTCCTCCGCTTTTCACCCTTTATCATCCGTAACCCGAACAATCATAAAGCATGTTGATTCACGGCCCGCCGTAAATTTAGCGTTATTTTATTCGTAGCTCGGTATCGTTTAAACGACTCCAAGTATTTCGTTTCGGTCCCTTACCGTCCGAGATTCAATCTGCTCGCTTTTTCACGAATTCCATTTCGTAAATATAACACAGCAGAATGTATTATTTCTACCGTGACTCGGCCTCGAGCGACTTGTCCAGTGATCGAACACTTAGCATGCAAGTTTGTTAGAATGATCGTTAGTTAAGCTCTTCGATATTTTTTGATAGACGCCCGATCGTTCCGAAACGATTATTTAAAATATTACCAGAGTGTTGAAGACCTTCGTTCACGGACTCGTTCAGTAGAAAAAGCTTCGACACGATGCAAGATATAAAATGCAACGCGACATTATAAAATTCCACTTGTCAAATGATCGAACACTTAACATGCAAGTTTGTTAAAATGACCGTTAGTTAAGTTCTTGGATATTTTTTGATAGACGCCCGATCGTTTTGAAACGATTATTTAAAATATTACCAGAGTGTTGAAGATCTTCGTTCACGGTCTCGTTCAGTAGAAAAAGCTTCGACACGGTGTAAGATATAAAATGCAACGCGACATTATAAAATTCCGCGCAATCGAAGTAACTTATTCAACCGTCTTCTTCTGCTGGCATTATTAGAACATTGTTCGACAGACGGACGTTACCAAATGCTTGCACTTATACATTCGACGTCGTTGAACGCGACTCGTGGCAGGAGCTGATAAATGAATCTCTGAAGGCGCAGTCCCGATGAACCCGGTTCGTTACATTAATCATCGAACGGGATCCGAAAAGAATTCTGGCCGGGTCAGCGATTAATTTCCAAGTCGCCGACCGGTTTTTCCTGGGGACAATTCTGCGCGGGATTCGGCTGGAAGTTTTCGGAATTTATAAATGAAAATTCGCCGGAACTCCGATCCAACCCTTCCGCCCCGAAATTGGCCGGCGCTCGGTGAATTTTATATTCAGGACATTACCGCGTGCTGAATTATTTTTCAAGTTCGGGCCGGGTCGGGCCGGCCGGAGGCTGCAGCTGAAGTAGCCTGGCGCTGCCGGTGGAGCCTGTTTCCGGTCGGGAGCCTTGTCATGCAGGCTCGACCAACCCCCGAAATCCGTTTCGTTTCTCCCTCCTTTCGTTTCACCCCCTCGCTCCTCGTGCAAGACTATTCGCTAACTTTTTCCGTCGGGATAATTCGATTTCTAACGGTCCGCGTAGAAACGACGGTTCGTTGTTATTTCGTGCTGGATCGTCGAATTTTCGGGACTCGAGGACAACGAGTATTTCGACGGCAACAATTCAAGGGTGCTTTGCGTCGATAATTGCTCCCAGCCGGGCGGGATTCACGATTATTACCGGTTATTTGCATTCAGTCACGAACGAACGAGTTCGAGGATAGTTCGAAATGTCCTGGGCCTTGCTAAATTGACTCGCGTAGCTGTCACCCCGTGGAAATGCTGACGATGGTCGTAGACCCGACTGGACAGGGTTAGCTAATGTTTAGCTTCAGGCTGAAGGGGGAGAAACCACTCGGATTCAGCCCTCTTCCACAATTTTTTAAATAGAACCCCGTGCCCGCCGTGTTTTAAAATTCATATCGGAATCGATGCGAGCGATGGAAAAGTAAATTCTTGCCCGTCAGAGTCGCACCTTGATTTCCGATGCGACCGGCCAGCTTATTTGTAATTCATAATGCAAAATTGTTCGAGGGGACGGCGAGGCAGGGTCTGTAGGAATAATTCCGTCGCCGACGGAGTGCAATATCTATTCTAAGTTCGGAAAAAGCTTCGTCCGTTCCAATGGTCGAACGCTGTGATTAAACCGCCGGTACTTCGAACAGATTTATTTAGAAACATAACGTACAAAGAGTGCGACGCGTGTTCGAGCGAACGAAACGTGAACAAGCAGCGAATGTTTAAAAAATAAATTCGTTCTTCGAAGTGCATTAAGAATACGCTTAGAATACTTTAACGAATAAATACTATGCTAAATCCTGCCTGGACTGTGGATGCTCGTGAATTTTCGAGAGTTCGCGTACGTTTTGTCGAATCGTTTTTAGAACAATTTCACGAAGACGCCTCGTTCGAAAAAGCAACGGGAGAAGATTTCTAGAGAATCGTGCCGCTGCGCTTTTAATTGCATCCGCGCGAACGCTCCACAGTCCGCGCAGGTAATAATCATACTTTTTAATTAATCGTACGGGCGACGACAAGTGGAAATCCCGACTTCAGTTATTTACAAAACTGCCGACCGTTTTCCCCGACAGAGGCTCGGCGGCTCATTTCTACGGGCGTCGGCGAATAAAGTTATGAATTAAAGATTTCATTAGCGTCCCGGCTCCTTGGCGCGGAAGAGGCATCGACGTGGCTAAGACACAGGATATCGAATTACCCTCACATCCTTTGACGCCGGCACGGCCACTTTAACCCTATTCACTTGAAGAGGTACGCTCAAAGAAGCGCCGTGAATTGCCACGGCGAATTGAAAAAGACGTGCCGACGCGTTGAGATCAAGTGCAGCATTGCGGCTTCGCTTACTGAATTATTTACGTAAAAAAATACGTTCGACGCCCCTTCTCGCGGCCACTTCACCGGCGAATTCCGTCCCGAACGTTTCCTTCGGCCCTTTTGTCAGTTCTCGTTTGTCAGTTGCAGCAAGCGAACAGTTCGTGGCGTTAAAAATTCACCAGCGAAAAGAGCTTCAGCCTTTCATTCTCTGGGAGTTATAATCACATGTTACGACGCGATCTATCGATTAGTCGAACATTCTCCACTGAAATCTGAACGGTCGAAGCTCCAGAAAGTCTCTAACACTGTCATTCACGCTAATAACAGAGTAATGCGGCTGCATTATAGATCGCACTGACTTATTTAGCATAAATCCATTAAATTGAATAACTTTTGGAGTTATGGAATTGATTCAGTCTACAGTTACACGACGTGCAGTAATAGGTAATGAGCTTAAATGTACGGTCGAGTGGAAATTGTGGTCTACGGAAATTAATACGAAGTAATTCACTTTGTTAATTATGTTCCTAGAGAATGAGTATGGATTAAATCTACGTGCGCTGGAAGCGAGAAGCTTGCCCTTTAAAATGAATTTTGGTCCAAATCGATAGCACTAGTGGTTCCGAAGATATAAGGGTTTAAAGGTGACCATGTCAGAAACCCGCTGGCGCGCGTCTCTGACCCGCGCAACATCCCCTGACCAGCGCAACGTCACTGACCAGTGCAACTCCGCGTTATTGAGGTAGGTCAGTGCTGCAGCGGCGGCAATCACATCGCAATATCTCAGGAAACAGAAGTCCTATCGTTATGGGACAAAAGGCATTTTAAAATAATTCTACTGTCTTCGGAGGACGTCCAAAGTTTGAATTCGTTTGGTTGAATCTGCGCGTGTCAAATAATTATAAATTCTGGAATCGACAATTCACAGTAAAAATAGAAGCTTCTAGCTTTAAAATGAGCTCAGGATTATTGTTGCACGACTCTTTCTTACGAATTTATGATAGCTTAAACATCGAAAATTAATTAAAAATTATATATTCTGGAATCGACAATTTATAATAAAAGTAGAAGCTCCTTGCTTTAAAATAAGCTCAGGATTATTGTTGCACGACTCTTTCTTACGAATTTATGATAGCTTAAACATCGAAAATTAATTAAAAATTATATATTCTGGAATCGACAATTTACAATAAAAGTAGAAGCTCCTTGCTTTAAAATAAGCTCAGGATTATTGTTGCACGACTCTTTCTTACGAATTCATGATAGCTTAAACATCGAAAATTAATTAAAAATTATATATTCTGGAANCTGTCTTCGGAGGACGTCCAAAGTTTGAATTCGTTTGGTTGAATCTGCGCGTGTCAAATAATTATAAATTCTGGAATCGACAATTCACAGTAAAAATAGAAGCTTCTAGCTTTAAAATGAGCTCAGGATTATTGTTGCACGACTCTTTCTTACGAATTTATGATAGCTTAAACATCGAAAATTAATTAAAAATTATATATTCTGGAATCGACAATTTACAATAAAAGTAGAAGCTCCTTGCTTTAAAATAAGCTCAGGATTATTGTTGCACGACTCTTTCTTACGAATTCATGATAGCTTAAACATCGAAAATTAATTAAAAATTATATATTCTGGAATCGACAATTTATAATAAAAGTAGAAGCTCCTTGCTTTAAAATAAGCTCAGGATTATTGTTGCACGACTCTTTCTTACGAATTTATGTTAGCTTAAATATCGAAAATTAATTAAAAATTCGAGTGCACTGAGACTTTCTGGACTTTATAAAATCTTTTATTTCCATAGCTGCACTGAAACGGAATGAACGATTCGAACGACCAATTCGAAACTTCAGCCGCGAATTCTGCGAAGTCTGAATGCAAGTTCCAACGAAATCTTCTTACACTGAATAAAACGATAATTGTATCGACAAGCCCATCACCTGAATTCTTTAAAAGTTACATCAAAATCCTCTGTCCACGATGCTTCCTGACGGAACGCCGTTACATTATCCGGGATTCTGACGTCGACGCGTGTCCTCGCTCTATCATCGACGATCCCTAGGTATCTAGCTTACGATCTAGCCGACGTCGCTCGAATTTCTGGCGCATTCCCTTCAATTCCGGGAACGGTCGAGCGCGGAGGCGCGCGTGAAATACTGTCGTGGTGCGGCGCTATTGCAGGGAAGTTTGGCTGTTTCGCGCGAGTATTAGAAACCACGAGAACGGAAGCAGAAGTCCGGGCCAGTGGCTGACGTCACATCCGGACGAGACGTATCCGGCGTCACGTTGCATGGCTTCCGTACGTTCCCCTGAAACAGAAATAAAAGTCTGTTTCTCTCTGTGCTTTCGCTTTTGTCAGGCGCGGTTTCGCGGTGTTTGCGCGGCGTCTCGCGAAACCCGAAGGCGTTCGTCGGATCCGCGTACGAGCGCGCGAACCTCGGCCACGTATCCTGAAAGAATAATGAGACCACGGACTCGTAAATCAATGTCCCCTGGAGACTATCGGATTATAGGTTTTTCCTGCGTTGCCCGGGCTAGTCGTCGGGAAAGGTCTTCATTAATTACCACGCTCTTTAGCGCGGCGACGCCGGGCCCGGGCCGACAAATAATTGCCCGCGAGTTCCTCGAACCTGAGTAATTCCGCTTCACTAATCTTCCGAAAGCAGCGTTCGCTTTTGGTCGCGAAAATGCCCACGGCTTAGACGGACCGCCCGAACCATTCGTGCACAATTCCGGCAACGTTATTTACCGTGACTCTTCGCATAATTAAAAAGGCTCCGCGACGAGATTGAATTAAAGAGACGCGCTTCGACGGATTACGCTGCGCCGTCTCGTGCGTGCTGTCATTTTTTCGATTAATTCTTCTGCCGCGACAAAAGCGAAACTCCTGCAGTCGGAATAATTATCCTCTCTTCGCGGAAATATTATTATTACCTTAACACCTTATTCGTCGGAACAAAGAGAAGCTGAGCCGGTGGATCCGCTGTCCGGATCTTTGTGGGCTTTCGAATCTCCGCAGAAAAAGTTAAAATAATTTCGCTGAGACTGTCCTGCTCCGGGAACAGCGCATCCGGAGACCCGACTGCGTTGTTTCGTCGCAGCATGCGGCACGAGAATGCAAAGTATTCCGCAGATAATTCCCCGCGTAAATGCTACCGTATCCCTCGCGAACGTAAAGAACGTGCCCGAGCAGATGCTGTTAGACACGCACAACCGTCAGACTATAGGAGAAGCAGCGAGTACGTTGCCAAACCCTATTTCGCATGGCACGTGTTATTACATTGCTCTCGAAGAGCTGTTACGAAGCCAGAACCCATCTGAAAATTAAAATGTCCAACGATAGAGTACGGCGAGTGCCTTGTAACTAACTCGGCAATTCGATGCCGGCGCAATTAAACCATTTGCCGTACCTAGGGCTCCAAGGGGCTCGGGATTTAAACGTCTGCTGTCGGTCAGAACGCTCCAAAACGCTCTCTTGCCTTATTCGAATTGATGTTGGAATTTGTATCGCGTTGTAAGTAGATTATTTTATGCAAAAATTGATTAGAAATCGGGCGAGAAAATAATATCAACGATAAAACTCTCGTAGTTTATTTTCTATAATTTTTATTTTCATTGGCTGGCATAAACTAAAATTCGACTCGGCCTCGGTAAATTTAAATTATGTCGACGGACATAAATCGACGGTCAGGAGGCAGCAGTCCTTTGGTAGCGTCAAAGGTTTAAACAAGCCTCGGAATTGCCGAGCAATTCGCCGGGAGTGCGGAGTAATTGGGAATGCGCCGCGAAGATTTTTCCGTCGTCGTCGTTCGGAGCGAGCGGGATTTTCCGGATTTCGCATTTATGGGGAGAAGTAGGCGAACGCGTTTCGGGGCCAGCTGTCGATTGCCGAACCGGATACGGAAAATCGTTGAAGTCGTTAACGACGTGGAAGCCCCGGGGCTGTAACTATTGGCTGTTTGAGGCTCTCGAAGCAGTCGTTCTTAGGCGGCGCTTTACGGGATCTTGACTTTTTTCGAGGAGCCGCTAACAGGTACTTTATTTTCTTGAAATGACTTTTCTAACGATTTCCTCTCTGATTACACAAGCCCTGATCCCCTAATGACAGAAATACGAGCGATTCGCCGGAGAAAAACGAGCGGGCGTCCGTCTACGCGCGTTGAGAACCGTCGAAATTCTTTCGCGTTTCTTTCATGTGCTTCTTCGTCTTCTTCTTCTTCTTCTTCTTCTTTTCGTCCTTTCGCCTGCTTCTTCTTTCTCGTTCGCCTGAAAGTGGTACTTCGGCGTTCACGCTCGATTCACCGGCATGTCGGCAAGCGAATTTCCCGGGCCGCCCAACCCGCCGGTAATTATGCTTTCATATTCTCGAACGATTAAGCGTTCAACTTTTCCGGGCTGTTACTTTTAGAAGTTTGAGTTACGACGCGGCTCCCTGACCGCGTGGCTATGAATACCGTCTTTTGATTAAACGCACTTGGAACGTTAAATACCGCACGGCGAATCAAATATGTAGCCTGTAAACAGTGTTCCCGGAATAACTTCTGACTCGCTCCTCGTTTCTACAATTCCGCTGAATGATTCGCGACTCGATGCTTTTCCACGTTTAGTTATTTTATTTCTCAACGGGCGAATGCTTATTATGAGGTAAAAAAGCATCGGTTGGCGACAGTTCTTCTTAGCTCTAAAGTGTCGACTTTAAAGCGAAACGTTAAAGGACAATATCGTGTAACCCGAATGAACATTGAATCGCCAGTTTTGGAAGAAACGAAGCGAAGCATTTCGTGCTGGATTTTCTGCTAGATTTTCTGCTGTTTTCAAGCATAAGTTCGTACGCTTTCAAGTCGAAAGAAGCCATATTAAGGAGCGCGTATTTTATCTTGTTTGCCGGGAGATTATGGCTCGTGGAATCAGCGTGTACCTATCGAAATATCGCGCTGCATCATTCAGTTCCATCGATCCATGAACTTGTGGAGCCTGGCGGATCCAATTTAATCCAGCAAGGATCGATGATAACTGGTTCTAGAGCGTTGGCTTCGGTTTGCGGGGCTCAAATGGTCACGACCGGCGCAGACCGAGACGCATGACCAATTAGGAGGCTCGCACGAAATACACGTCATTAGTCGTATGAATCGGCAGTCATCGAAGATTGGCTCGGATATTTAAACGGGATCGCTGGTCCTGTAAGAGTCGCGTGAAGCCCACCATTCGCGATCCCAATTCCCTTAATGGCTCGTTTTCGCATTGCCGATTTTGTTTCTTCTTTATGGTCGTACTCCTGGAACTTCGATCATAAAGAGTTCGTTCTATATTGATCACATTGTCTGGCAGTGCACTCTTTACGGATCTCAAAAATTTAAACTATATCAGCAACAACTACTGCTATAAAGCAGTAGCTTAAAATTATTTCCACCAACCACAGTGTCTGTGTGCTTGTTGAACCCAATATCGAAGCGTGTGCATGTATTTTATTCTCGAAAACGTTTAATATAAATGTATAAATAACCCACTGATTCCCTATATTCGCTATAAATCTCACCCGAGATTCGAAAGCTCGTAATAAATAAAATCCATTTTCCAGAACTGCGAGCTAATAATCGCGGGACGAAGCGGGGAGGGTAACGCGCCTATAAAGAGGTCGACCGAGCGTGATTGTAGGGAGGGAATACAATGAAAGCTAATCCTGAGAAACCACAAAGTTCACCGCATCGTCACTGCTCCCAAATACAGTAATCCACGGCTGGCAACCCCATTGGAAACCGCAGACGTTTCCAGGCCCAACACGTGATCGGCACACGTGACATTCTCATCGCTAATACAGGCGTCAGGTGGGGGCGCAGGAGGGGCGGAAGGGTACAAGGGCCGGGTCTAAATCTTTGCCAACACGATTCAGTTTACGGTCGATGGAGTCTCCGAGGCATCGAAGCCTACCCGCTTGCGGTTTACACAATTTCCTCGGCGTTCGAGGAGTGTCGGCTCCTACTTGCCTCTAGCCGAGAGCCCGTGGCCGGAAGATCACGACGGCTTCCGGACATCGGTGCTCGCAATCCTCTCTCTTTGTCTCGCCTTCCCTGTCCTTGTCCAGGCCGGGTATCAAGGGTAGTTAATTGGCTGCCGGGATAGGGCACGGTCAATTGACCGTTCAATTAGAGTGGCAGGGCATCGACGGATTTTCGGTTAACGTTGCTTGGCATTAATCGGTGATCTCCGGCTCCCAGCGCCGAATATTCGTCAATGACACCGCGAGCCGCCTGGAAGCTTGAAAGTGAAAATAATCCCCGGCATTATGGATCCCCGGATTTATGGTTGCGCATCCAAGATCGCCTACGAGGCTTGTAGATCCGGCCGAAAGCTCCAAAAAAAATCGAACGGTCGACTTCGATTCGGAAAATTTCCTGACAGCCTTCACACCGCGCACTTTGCCGAGCTAGATTCGAACGGTGGAGCTTGCTTGCGCTTCTCTGGAGAGGGGGGGAGAACAGTTTGCAGTGTCGTTTCCGTAACGAAGCTCTCAATTTCCGAGGCAGCACGTTCGATGATGGCGTTAAATATCTCACCGTCTACGTTTCACATCGAGGATTCACGGGTTGATAATATTTCATTGGAATTTCTATTACACTGCCGAATGAAATCCCCGTGAGAACCTCCATCTGGCCCGACGAAGTAAGACGTCCAGACATCCCGGTAATAAGTCTCAACATTATTTTCTGTCCGACGGGTTCCCGGCGCTCCAATATGTCGCCGCCCCAGCCGAGAGATTCATGGTCCGCTTTCGAGATTTTTAAATATATATATCTGGCTCTCTCTCTTCCTCTCTCGCTCTCTTCCTCTCACTCGCTCTCTATACATATATATGTACGAGCGTACATATATACATGTGCGTGCATCGAGCGGTACACGGCCAGGAACTTCGTAGGGAGTTTAACACTTAACGACTCCCCGAGCTGCCGTTTATACGGCACCAAATTTCATTCCTGTCCCCTGTCCCCCCCGCTCTTTTTCTCCCCTCGCCCCTCGCCACGGCATCCCACCGGCTTCCTGCGATATTATTAAATTTCAGACCCGAAATATCCGCGCGAATTGCAGCCGGAGAATTCATTTTCTTTCGCTCTGCTTTGTCTTCCGCATTATTAAAAAATTCATGATGCCGTTGCCGCGGAACGCGAATGAAACTCCTCGACCGGACGTTCATTTCATTCGATCGATTGGTACCTGTGCTCGGCCCGGGGTTCAATCGATTCCTTCCACCGAAGCGAGAAGCAACGCGAATCGGCGATTCATTGTCGGGACGAATAATTCCATAATTCCAATT